TTTTAAACTTAAAATGGGTGGTTTTTGAATGCTGCACATGAGCACAAAACACACGATAGATGTGTGCAAAGTGCCTCTGCACGCACTCACTGAAGCGGGTTCCCAGAGTTATGTGATGACCATTTGTAAACTTCCCAGGAAGCTTGTAACAAAGAAAATCAATGGAGGAAGACGGATTTCCTTAACAACTACATAATTCAATTAACAATCGTGATAAAAAGTCATAAAATTGGGTCACTTAATGACCATTTAGTGATAGATGTTCCAGTTTCAGTTGTAGTCATAAATAGAGGACTACCTATACAAGGTCTTCAAGCAGAGTGATTGGTTGAACATTTGTGCTAAATTGCAAAAGGAAACCTACCGTCCTTGAGATGTTGGGAGCTTCAGCATCCAGGATTCCTCACCAATTGCCATGCTGGCTAAAGAGGCTGGACATTACAGTTTAGCGTTATCTGAAGTACAGTTTTTGCACCCTCTTGTAGCTCTAAATTCCTTACAACAAGCAAACAGTCAACAGAAGTTATTTTAAAACTTCCTTTTTTGTGGGACTTTTTAAGGACAAGGGTTACCGAATTAAAAGATGGAGGAAAGAGACCATTGAGCAAGGAATAGCATTAAAGAAGGATCTGACCTCCTGTATATTACTTGGAGGACCCTGAAATAGGTTGAGAGTTGGAGTGCCTAAATGTAAAACCAATATGCTCAAGTGAAAACTCTTAGTGGATAACAACACACTCTGTGAGTGTGGAAAGACACAGAGCACAGCTCTTCTGTTGGTATCTTAGCTACTACCAGAAACATGTACTGATAATGACTTATTTTTGGCCAACAACAAAGCCAAGTAGGTGGCTTCATTCTGGCAACTTAAAGTTTGATCTAAACATGGAAAAAGAAGGAGGTGGAGGAGGAGGAGGAGGGGGGGTTGCTTCCTAAGACCCTTCACAAGTCTTCCTCAGGAAAAATTCACTGGCTCTATGTTGCAAAAGTCTTTAAAGTAGCTTCATAGTAATGGAGACCACATAGAGGGTAATTACATTTCTTTATTGGGATGGCAGCATTTGGGAAAGAAAAGTCTCTTTCCTCTCAGATAACTTTCTTGAAAAGTTTCCTTCACTTCATGGCAATCTTGGTTTCAAAACAGGTTCAAGGGCAGAAGGTTCTAAACTTTAATTAATAAGCTGAGGAGAAGGGAGGATATGTGAATTCATCTACAGTCACCAAGAAAGCTACATAATATGTCCATGCAGTATTAGGTATTAGACTTGGCTTGAGGATATCTTACCTTTTCTGCTGTGATCAAGTTCACTGAAGCCCATGCTGAGTTCCTCAGCTATTCCTTCCATGTAGGACAATATTGGAAGTCAATACCCTCTGTCTTATCATACATGGCATTTGCCTGTATTACAGGGGTGGGATTCAGCCGGTTTGGACAGATTTGGGCAAACCAGATGCTAATTTTACATCTGGTTCACCTAACCGGCAGTTGAAAGGACTGGCTGGCCCTGCCCGTCATGCTCCGCCCATCCCAGGAGTCTCCACGTGGCCCATTTTGGATGCCAGGTAAGTGCAAGGCCCACATGGAGGCTCTGGGAGGGCAAAAAAATGGGCCTCCCAAAAGTTCCAGAAGTCTGGAAGCAGGCCTGTTTCTGGCCTCCAGAAGGCCTCCGGATCCTGGGGCAGGCAATATTTGCCCTCCTGGAGGTACCAGGAAAGCTTCCAGAGCCTGGGGAGGGTGAAAACTCCTCCCTGCTGCTGTGGTGCAGGAAGCCGAGTAAGCCATGCCCACCATGGCTACACCCATTCAGCAACCAGACAGAGAACCGGTTGCTAAAAAATTTCAATCCCACCCCTGCCTGTCTATATCTTTCCCCATATATATTTCCAGGAGGATATAAGCCAAGTTAATGAACAGAATCATCTCGTGCTTCCTCAAAGGCGAAGGACAAGAATCAAGATGGGCACTCCAAGAGTAGACACCCAAAGAAAGTGAAGAAAGATCAGAGAACGGGGCTCAGTCAAGGCCTTTGCACAAAATGGTTGGCTTGATAGCCTCCATAGGAGCATAAAGCAGAGGGAACTTTCCCATTTCTGGATTTGAGAGAAGCCATTCGAAAGGTCTGAGTTCCATATTTCCCAGAAGCCATACTATAGCATAGAACAGAATTCTTACATTTCTTGGTCAATTAATCAGTGAATACATCTTTTTAATTCTTCTGACATATGCAATTAGCAAGCAATATAATAAATGTTGACTCTAACTAAACCTGAGTTAATATTAATTGCTTCATTGCAAATGGTAAAACAATTCATTGGCTCTTATGGATGTATGACATTAATCTTTCATTGCTACTTAATATTCAAAGCTTCAATTCTATAACAAATGGTATTATTGTTAACACAACAGACTGCCCATTTTTTTTTGTGGGGGAAGCACTTTTAAACATTTCTGTGTGAAATAGCCACAATGCACTCAGTATTGCCTTTGATGTCAGTTATGTGTCCTTTACACAGTGTACAGAGAGAAAACACCTGGTCCATGTACCAATGAACATACTGGTGATTGTACAGTTTTGTACAAACAATTTGAAAAGCCTCAGCAAATTACATATAATTAACAGGCAAAGGTTTCCAAAGTATAAATTCATGAACCTTGGCAATATTATACGGAGACAGTATCTCAAGAGATTTGTGAAACTGGTCCAACCTGCAATTTGGACTCTGGATGTAGGAATTAAAAATAGTGGGTCCTTGAGGTGAGGTTCGATTTACTCACTTCATAATGTGAGAAGTCAGTCTTGTCTTTTTTGGGGGGTGGTTATTCTACTTTTTCTGCCGAAGGAGGCTTGCACTTTTGCACTAATGTTCTATCTTGGTAATTCTATCTATTTTTCTGCATCTCTGCATCTGCTAATCTGTGAAAATACAGATTAGCCTTCCCTTCTGAACAGTAAAGCAGGATACAAATTCAACAGGGATAATAACTATGTTTCAGATGGTACTAGAATTCAGTCTATGAGCTATATGTGCTACGTCACAGATACGTTGCCTCTGTGATGTCCCACAAATGCCTTGGAAAACTTAGACATAAGCTGTTTTTTAATTTCTTCTAGAGTTTAATATCTCCTCCCTTCCCCCTTCTTAATATTCCTGTGAACTGTTGCAGGGTCTCAATGAAGAAAAGTCTTTCAGCTGAGGTCCAGAGTTCTGCCCATTATGTTAAAAGTAAGAACCATTTTCAGTACTGAAAAAATAACCCCAATAGTTATTTTAATGTGATAATGGCAGTGGCCTTCCATATAACAACCAATTAATAGTTCGTATTCTGAAGCTGGAATATTTTTTGTAGATATTCTCTCAGAACAACCAGTATTGTTGGACTTTAATTTCCATAATTCCAAGTGCTTGCCTTCCTGTACTGGATTCCAGTTCCTATTGTCCAGCCTCAGCAAGTTGATGGAGAGGAATAATCCAACCTTGTAGAGGTTTAAAACAAAGATGTAGATGTGTCCATAAAAATAAAGTCATCCAGGACTCCTCAACGTCCTGAGTCCTCCTGAAGAGAAAACAAAGTCCTTTGTGTGCCCCATTGTATGTGTGAGGCCAGACACCATGTGGGATAGGCCCACAGACTTGGGGATGTAAAGTTTCAAACACTCCTCAGTGGTCTTTGAAATCTCCAGAACAGAAAGTTTAGGATAATTCAATGCTTGACTTGAGATTACCTGCTTAGGTAGTTCGGGCAGAGGGATGGACAGTGTATTAAAAGTTATCTCGACGTTATCCTGGACACCCACATGCATCAAAAATGTATCTCCTATTTTCCATCTACACACAACAAGTATACATACTTAAATGATGTCTCTGGGTGTGGTATGATAAAATAAGAAATAGTTCTATCTTTACCTTGAAGAAAATGTACCTAGGAATGTTAGTGTTTAATTGACTACAAGCTTAATGGAACACGACCTGGTTGGGCATTAGGTTTCTTCAATGCTCTCAGCTATTCATTATGATAGACCTGGACAGTATTCATTAAATTAATATGACCATTGTAACTATTTTTTTAATCATTTCATAATTTTCAGTTTGGCTATGGTTGACCCTACATTGCTGAATTTGGTATATTTCTATTCAATAGCCTGCTGCATGAGTATCTTAGGTAGAAAACTACACTGCTCACTTAGCTCAGACATTTTAAGTTAATTTTATTCTGGAAATTTTAGTGTAATAGACTATCCCAGATTTATAGGTGGTAGCGGTCAATGCTATCTAGGTATTTCTTTGGGTAGGTTTGGAAAATATTTGAGAAAATTTAATTTTGAAAAATATCCTTTTGAGAGGATGACCTAAGAATGTATATTTTACTACTACTACTAGTAGTAGTAGTAGTAGTAGCATCAGCAGCAGCAGAAGAAATATCTTTCAAGTACTGTCATTATAGGCCTCAATTTCCATTCTTTGGCATGATAGAGTTTAATCAATGAATCCCAGAGAAAGAAAAAAAATCTATATGTT